ACATACAGATATATATATATATATATATATATACATATAGTCACATCCTCATATACACCAGAGATACGGAGGCTGGACATAAATACACATTTTTTATATCTTGCCCGTCCCATTTCCATATACTGATATATATATATATATATATATATATATATATATATATATATATATATATATATATATATATATATATATATATAAAAATTCAACCGGGTACCCGATCGGGTACCCGGTAGGATTTCTAATACCCGGATCCGAACCCGGAAAAAACCCGGTTACATCAAAAATTACCCGATCCGGTCGGGTAATACCCGACCGGGTCGGGTTATACCCGAATAACCCGACCCGAATGCCCACCCCTAGTCGGAGCATAACCACTCTGATCTTGGTCAACACTCTCATTTCCCAACTCACCAGATTTGAACTCACTCTCGTATTTCATTTACTCATAAGTGGATCTCACTCGCTCACCTAAGAACAAATATCTGGAACTTGGAAGAGATTCAAATTACATGCATCTTACTCTCTCTCACACATAGCGGTTTACTATATAGATGGAAAAGCAATATTGTCTCAAAAGTAGAGAGCATAAGTGGTACAACCATCGTCATAGTAAAACAGGTGTCGCCGGAAAATGTAAGAATTCAATGCGGTGGTACGGTGAGAGAGAGAGACAGAGAGTTTCGGGGAGTGGCGGATGTTAAGTAGCTCGAATGAACGGTCCAGATGAAAGAAACAAATGCGAAAGTCAAGAGGTTAAGATCAAAAGATTATAAATATTGTCAGGTCACCTATTGGACTTTGAGCTATTTGGTGGGCCGCATTAAGTGGAGATAGTGTTAATGGGTTAAATTCTTTGTTAATTTAGTGGGAGCCCAAAATCCAAAAGGCACAAGCTAAACTCACTCACAACAAGCATTTACAATGTCCCTAAATATTAGATTGCGATAGAAACGAGGAAGATAAATTAGGGCTAGGTGTTTCGAAATTGGGGAAGAATTAATAGGGAAAATAATTATTTCGAGGGAGATGGTGTTTGCCCTAATTTTCATCACATAGAAACACGCGTTCAAATTGAATTAGGTTACATAAATTACATCTTCTTCAAAAAAATAAAATTTGATTTTTAATCTTTATTATTTTTGTATAAATAAATTTAAAATCCAATTGTTGCAAAATGAATTTAAAGAAGGCAGCCAATCAGCTGCCGGCGCTAGATACCAAATCCACCACAGACAGCACTTTCTCCCTCCCGATACTCTGCTTCAATATATAAAGGGTAAATTACGAAAACCCCCTAAACTTGGACTAAATAACAAAAAATGCCTCCATTTATTCGTAATTATCAAAAAAACCCTAATTTTTGTTTTCTTTTTACACCAATCCCTTACCGTGTAACTTTTTACGTGTATTTTTTGATTATAGGGAATAAATTTTACACAATTTCATATATTTTCTTTTATTTCTCACCTATTTAACACAAGAGTATAATAAATTATACAAATGAGAATTTTAGTTATTACGAATAAATGAGGGTGTTTTTCGTTATTTAGCCTAAGTTAAGGAGGTTTTTCGTAATTTACACTGTATAAAGTCCACCTTCCCCATTTCCCAAAATAAACAAATAAACCGACCCACCAGAAGAAAAAAAATTGGGTTTGAGCTTCACTGAATTCTCTCACTAAACTCATCAATGGCGAGTTCCGTTCTGCTCTCGCATCCTCTCTCTTCTCAATTCCACCAACCCAAACCCAAATTCAAATTCCTCCCTCCAATTCCTCCTAAAGTTTCTCCTTTTCGCCTCAAATCAATCGCTCAGCATAAACCCTTGAATTCCCGATTGGAGAATAATGGCCGTAGAAGATTCCAGAACCTGGTGTTGACGCGGGTGATGAAAACGAAAACCGAATCCGATGGTGGGGATGAGGTTTCCGCCACGGTGGGTGAAGATTCCGCCGAATTCGTCTTGTCCGAACAGAAGATTTCGTCGTGGCTCTATTTCACTGCGATTTTGGGGGTTGTGCTCTACATTTTAAACGTCGCCTGGATCGACAACTCTACCGGCTTCGGCAAAGTCTTCATCGACGCCGTTTCCACCATCTCCGACAGCCCCGAGGTTTCAATTTTTCACCCCCTTTGTTGTATTCACCACTCTGATTAATTTTAGTTAAATTAATTGTGAACTCACACCCTCACAAAACGAAGCCTAAGATTCCGGCATGGAATTGAGCTTTGGAAATTAAGGGAAAATTGGCTAAAAGTCCCTCAAAAATATTTTGTATTGCGAACATGCCCGGCGAATATTTTTAATTTGCTATAAGTCCCTCGGGCAACTTAGTTGAAAAGTCTACACTGAAAATAGATAGTCTAGAGACTGAAAGTGGACAGCTTAGTTGGAGAATTTAAACTGCTTAGACCGAAAATCAATGAAAATAACATGTTTCGAATGATGCGGTTGGCGGAAATTAGACGGCCGGCAGCAGAGGACTAGTAGGGATGGGCAAAAATGTCATTTTTGTGGGAGTGGGTGTTGTTCTAAGGATGGGTGAGTTGGAGACAAATAAGGTATTTTCGATCTAAAATCACTCTTTTCAGTCTAAGCTCTCCAACTAAACTTCCCGAGGGGCTTATAGCAAAATGCGAAAATATGAAAGGGTGTTTAGCAAATTTCCCCTTGAATAAATGAGACAAATTCAGTTAGGAAGTAATTTCATTATTTATATGCTCGATTTCTTGATTTCTTGGAATTAAGCTCGTTTTCTTGTTTTCTAATAAATTCATTACTGATTATATGTGTGCAGGTTACAATGCTACTCCTTATACTCATATTTGCAGTAGTCCACAGTGGCTTAGCTAGTCTGAGAGACACGGGTGAGAAACTCATCGGAGAACGAGCATTCCGTGTGTTATTCGCCGGTGTTTCTCTTCCGTTAGCTGTTAGTACTGTTGTGAGTTCCTCTCTGCCCCCATGTGCTTCTGTAATAATTTTCGTTTTTCTTTTGACAATATCAATCGAGTGTTCGTTATTATTCTCGTGGCAGGTTTATTTCATTAACCATAGGTATGACGGAGTGCAGCTGTGGCAACTTCAGGGTACACCCGGACTACACGAATTTCTGTGGTTCTCTAATTTCGTTTCATTCTTTTTCCTTTATCCGTCGACCTTCAATTTATTAGAGGTCGCCGCGGTTGATAAGCCCAAAATGCATCTTTGGGAAACGGGAATTATGAGAATTACGAGGCACCCACAGGTATGAAACTCCATTGCAATAGAAACTTCCGTTTATTAACTTTATTAGATGCTCATCAATGTGTTTGATGAATCTATAAACTAACGAGTGATGGTCCGATTCTGTTTCAATTTTCCCATTTTTTTTTCGTAAATGAAAAATATAATTTAAAAACGAAGAATTCGGTCTCCAATCTCTCCACTAAGCAGTATTTTAGTGTCACAATAGCTTAAATTTGTTTGAAGAAACTAATTCATGTTGATGTTTACACCGATCGATTTGCAGTGTTTTATTATTTGATTTAGATATTTTTTTTTGGATATTTCTTTGCATATGGCATAAGCTACAATAAGCTTTTTTTTTTCTTTGTTTTTTTGTCATTTTATATACAATTTTATTGACATTTAAAACACAACGATCTATTATCTCGTTTTCCTCATTTTGCTGCTACATTGTGAAGATGGTGGGGCAAGTAATCTGGTGCATGGCGCACACCATATGGATCGGGAACTCAGTTACATTAGCAGCCTCCGTGGGTTTAATCGGACACCATTTATTTGGCGTTTGGAACGGAGATCGAAGATTGGCCGTTCGATACGGTGAAGCTTTTGAAGATGTGAAGAACAGAACAAGTGTGATTCCGTTTGCTGCTATTATCGATGGCCGCCAGAAGTTGCCGCCGGAAGGTTACTGGAAGGAATTTCTCCGGTTGCCTTATCTCTCGATAACCGGACTCACTTTAGGGGCTTACTTTGCTCACCCACTCATGCAGGCGGCAAGTTTTCGGCTTCATTGGTAGTTTTTAGAAACGACTCTGTTTCGAATGGTTAAGGTTTATATATATATCTATATTTATAATTATAAATGAACCACAGATACAAATGTGCACTGGATAAACTCCGCTCGGTTTATGGCTAAAACCAACACATAATTCTCATGGTCACATTCTATTCCTATTATTCTTGCTTATTATCTTCCTAATATTAATTACTTCACTAGAGGTTTTGAATCCAATTTCTTTCCCTTGACATAATCCAGTCGAGCTAGGGGTGTAAATCGGACAGATCGGATCGGAATAAGCCCTTTTGGAAAAAAATAAATCTGATTATTTTTGCCTTGGAAAGTGAAAAATTAGTTCCAATCCATTCCAAAAAAGATTGGAAATTGAAATTTCAGATTGAAACGAAAAAACTTGTTCCAGAATTGGAAAATTTCAGATCGTAATCGGGGGAAATCGGAATTTTCTTTCCAATTTCCACCCCTAAGCTGACCAATAAAATACAACAACAATACATATATACAAATAAATAATAAAGAAACGGAATCCTTGTACTAAAATACTTTTTTTTCTCCTATTTAAAACCCCCAACCTCTCCCAAATTAGACCTAATTTGAATTGGTTTGTCACGATCCTTATCGTTTCTGCTGCCTCTGTTTCGTCCCAGGTAAGCTTCGCACACTAATTATTTCATACAAGAAAATCTCTATAATAATTAACGTTTGTTAGTTTGCTGCTGCGGTAATTAATTAGTTGTTATATGAGATTTCAACGTAATTGTTGCATGCATGCATGCAACCTCAAACCCAAACAATGATTTTGCTTCTTTTTTTTTCCTTCCTTTTTAACACTATAGCTAGGAACCCTAAAACGAACACACGTAGAGATGATATCATCGTCGTCATCATCATCATCATCATCATCATCATCATCATCATCATCATCATCATCATCATCACCATCAAATATTCCACCGGAGATGGACGAAATTGTACTGTCGAAATTACCGTCAAAGTCTCTACTTCGATTCAGAACAGTTTCAAAGTAATGGAATACTATGATTTCCGATCCTGTATTTGCCCGTATTCATCTCCAGTCTTCGAAGAACTCTCCAAATAATCTCCTCCTAATGTATATAGGGCTTTCTGTGGTTAAATACGAAGGTGGAAAATATTTCCACTCTCAACAAGTGCTGGAGATTAGAACGGATCACATAGTGTTGCGCGAATGTAACGGCGTGGTTCTCTTGGGAAAGCTTGATGATGACGAGGATGATGGGTTCAGGATTTCGTAATATGCTTTGTGGAATCCATCCACGCGAACGGAGTCGTATTTTCGATTACCATATAAGAATCTTTACGGGAATCTTATTTATTCATATTCATTGACTTATGGGATGTGTTATGATCCGGTAACGGATGATTTTAAGGTTGTTTTCATCGGCGCAGACAATAGTTACGGTATCTACTCGTGTAAGAATGATTCTTGGACGGAGAAGAAATGAACCAGTGTATTCTTTGGCTGCATATGATGGGACATGGAATATTCGCCGATGGAGCTATCTATCGGGTTCTAGGCGAAGTAGGTAACAAGGCTATACACATAATATATTTTGATTCCAGAACCGACGAGTTGAAGAGGTTGCAAAAGCCCAAAGAACTTATTAGTGGGCTTAGTATTGAACAGCCTACGATAGTGGTTCTTTTTGGGACGGAGCCTTTGTTTGTGCCAAGGCAACACGAGAGACCGTGGTAAGATGGATATTGAATTCTGGATTAAGGAAAATGGCGTTTTGGAGAACCCTAATTGGGAGGAGCTTGGAAAGGAACCAGTGTATTCTTTGGCTGCATATGATGGGACATGGAATATTCGTCGATGGAGCTATCTATCGAATTCTAGGCGAAGTAGGTAACAAGGCTATACACATAATATATTTTGATTCCAGAACCGACGAGTTGAAGAGGTTGCAAAAGCCCAAAGAACTTATTAGTGGGCTTAGTATTGAACTGCCTACGATAGTGGGTTCTTTTTGGGACGGAGCCTTTGTTTGTGCCAAGGCAACACGAGAGACCGTGGTAAGATGGATATTGGATTCTGGATTAAGGAAAATGGCGTTTTCGAGAACCCTAATTGGGAGGAGCTTGGAAAGGAACCAGTGTATTCTTTGGCTGCATATGATGGGACATGGAATATTCGCCGATGGAGCTATCTATCGGGTTCTAGGCGAAGTAGGTAACAAGGCTACACACATAATATATTTTGATTCCAGAACCGACGAGTTGAAGAGGTTGCAAAAGCCCAAAGAACTTATTAGTGGGTTTAGTATTGAACTGCCTACGATAGTGGGTTCTTTTTGGGACGGAGCCTTTGTTTGTGCCAAGGCAACACGAGAGACCGTGGTAAGATGGATATTGAATTCTGGATTAAGGAAAATGGCGTTTTGGAGAACCCTAATTGGGGAGCTTGGAACTATTGTTTTTGCATGATCCGTATATTATTTAGTTGTTATTTGAAACTAGTATACTGGGTGGAAAATAAGATTGTGATTAAGTTAGAGAAGAATAGATATTTGTACTATAGCCCTCGTGAGAAGACGATTGAAGAAGTCGATCGAAGATGGAGATAAAACTTGGGGTCGACTTGCCTTTCCATATCTCGATAGTCTCTTATTCCCAACTAGTCTTGTGAAGAAGACGATAGCCGATAGCTCTTGTTTGAAAAATGGGAGAGAAAGAAAATTCGAGTGCAGGATTTTGACGATTATGGTTTTTTTTTTGTTTTTGTTTTCTGTACATTATATTAATTCCAACTTGAAGTATAATAGTAATTTCTAAAGCACACATCGTTAGAGATAATTATGTTTGAATAATTCTCGTATTTATCTTTGTATTTTTTTTTTTTTTTTGAACAGAAACAAACCATGCTTGGTGTTGTTCGATGCTTGGAGGATTCTAGAAAACTTTCTAGAATGCTCGTAGATATTTAGTTGGAGTTGTTCGATGCTTGGAGGATTCTAGAAAACTTTCTTGAATGCTCGTAGATATTTTAGTAGGAATTTTTTGGAGTGTTCTAGTGAACAACTACTGGCTCTTAAATCAAATAGATCTTCACCATCCAATGAGGAGGTGGCCTAGTATATATAGGAGTAGGAACTTCATTTGTAAGCAAATTTGGTAAAAAAACGAGTACATAAATTATATTAGATACATTTGTACATAATATATACCTTTGCATATATTATGGTGATGATGCCCATGAAAGTGAATGTATCTTGTCTTTTTTTCATGCAAGCTTTCATTTATATTCAAAATATAAACGGTTTGTTTATTACTTGTCGTATATTAGAAAATATTAAGTATGTATAAAAACAAAAGAGGTTTCGATCGTCTTCACAAGACTGACTTCGTATGACAAATCATTGGCTTAGAGGATGAAAATTCTGGTCTAATTTGGAAAGTCATCCAAGTTCCCCATCTGTAGCTTCAAATATTGTCCTTGTCTCGTTAATGTATAGTCCTATGGTCCTCGTCGACCTCATTGTCTTGATAGTTATCGTATTTCTATACTCGTCTCCGTCCCTGTAGCCTAGAAGATAACAAATTGGTTGCTACGAAACACATCAAGTATATATCATTCTGCATATACGAAAAAACAAATTATTAACAATAGTTAATTATATAGTTATATTGATTTTTTTCTTCTTTATGTTATTATGTTATTAATGTATCATTCTGCATATACGAAAAAACAAATTTCTTAACAATAGTTAATTATATAACTATGTTATTAATGTATGTTCACTAACCAAAAGTTCAGAAATACAATTGCCAAAAAGAAAAATATTTTTTTTAAAATGAGAACATCCGCATCTATCAAATTAAACATACTAACTACTAAAATTCCAATTAATAAAATAAATAAATAAATAAATCTTCTAGCGACAAAATTAAACATACTAACTACTAAAGTTTCAATTAATAAAATAAAATAAATTAATCTTCTAGCGACAATTCAATATGTTAAAATTCTAAAACAGAACCTAAATCAAATTAATGTTTTACAAAAAACTTAAATTAGGCTTTTTGTTGAAAAATTGGAAGGAAAACAAAATTCGAGACAATCGGTGCAGGTGTCGGAGATTTTGACAACTAGGTTTTTTTTTTTTTTTTTTTTTTTTTTTTACATTATATTCGTTCCAACTTGAAATATAATAGTAATTTCTCAAGCACAAATGGTTAAAGATAATTATGTGATATGCCTAATTGGCCCAACCCAATGGGCCTACAAATTAATTACCTACTTGGCCATGAGCCCAATATCGAAGACCACTATCACCGAGGCCCCATCACCTTGAAGCAAGGTTTGGGCCCGACAATCTCAACTAAGCTATAAATACACATTTGAACTTATTCCATAAGGTACGTCCTATTAACTGAGTAATACTATCAACTGTATTCTCTGGACTATTTCCACTATCAGCACGTCTAACTTGAGCGTCGGAGGGGTTTCCGCCGGATCAACCCCCGGCATAGTTCATGTGTGCTCATTTCGTAGGGTGGGAATGAAGTTGGCACAAATGAATGTAAGGCACGCCTTGCCTATTTGGTGGATGCATTTCCACTCCAACTCGTATGCCTCCTCGGTCGAGAGTTCGGACCAAATTGGGGGTCCATCGCACAACACCTCGGCGATTTGATCTCTTGTAACCGCGAGTTGCATTTGCTCCCAATTGAATGGTGTATGGCGGAGGTGATAGAATGCGTTGATTGCTTGGGCACACCAATCGACCCGCTTTCCTCGAACCGTGCTCGACTTCCGATCCGTTGTTAGGAGGATACGAGTGTTGGCATAGAACTCGCGGACTAATGATAAGTTGATCGACCCCTCCGGTTCCAAGAGTGCTTGCCACCCTCGTCGTATGAATTCTTGATGTAACGGGGCAAATTGTGGAAGGGTGATCTCATATGCACGCTCCGTCACTAGTTTCTTCACCTTTTGCTTTTCAAAACGAGCATTGGCGCCTTCGACACAAAAAGCGTCGTCGTCGGGGGTCGGAATTTGGTCGGTTTTCTTGCCCTTCCCCTTGCCTTTTGAAGTGCCTTCACCTTGTGAAGTGCCCTCCCCGTCACGTCCTCGTTTCCCCATACTTTGAGAATGCTTGTGGAGGAGTTTTGGAGTGAATTAGTGTG